CCTTCCAACCCAAACCATTCTGATTCTGCCATGAAAGAGTTCATCAGGTGGTGAAAACTTCCATGCTCTCAGGCACAGAGCAATGACATAAGCCCTTTTTTTTTCATCAGGAAACCATGCTAAATGCTCTTATATCACAGTAGAATTAGATTCTCCATGTCTACCAGAACAGACCCGGTCTCATCTGAAATGTGCTTTTACCTACAGCGTCATCCCCATCATTTATTTTGCGAGTGGCAGCTCCTGAAGTTGAGCACTGCTACGCCTCTGTGAGCCCATCTTCTCCAAAATGCTTTGTGAAAGGACTCCTGCCCTGTGAAAAACAGCATCTACAAACACATTTTTGTTTTGGTTCGAAGGAGACCTTTCTGAGCCTCGCTGGTGTAGCATCTGCCTTTCCTTCAGGGTGCAGGTGGAAAAGCCAGGACACTCTTTTTCTGGCTCATCCCTGGAAATGAGCATCAGCTCTCACCACAGGCACAGCGAGTCACCAGTCCAAGGCAAACATTAGACTCTGAACGTGGAGGGCTTTGCTCATCCTGAGGGATCTCTTAAGTCATTCCTTGTCCGGGTAACCTGTTGCTTGTGGAAGGATGGAGTAAAGGGAGCCTTGGGTTGTGATTCCCTTGCGTGGCACTAACTCAGGTGCTGCTGTGCTTTCTCACACCGGTCTTGATTTCCAACCCAATCCAAGAATAACAAACATGGGAGCCCTTCACTATGCTTCTTAAAAGACAAGGGCCATTGAGGTGTGTAAATCACGACCCTGGGTACCAGCTAGTGCATCCTTGATCCCAAGAGATGCTTGTTTTCTCTGGGGTGGTGGTGGAGAAGGTCTCTAATTGCACTCCCGAGATGGCCCCATTTGGGGACCCACATTGCCTTTGCATGGTCCCCAGATGAGGAGTGGATGGGGATCAGGGCTCCATCCCTCCTCCTAGTCTTAATTAGTTCCCCCTGGATCAGGCTTCAGAAAGCAGGTGACTATCTATCTATAGGTGTTGGGTAGGGGGTTCTTGTTCCTTGACCACCTTGCACAGGTGCCCCTACTCCAAGGGCAAACCCAGCACCTAACTTTTAGCAGAGTTTTCCACTAGCAGAAGAGCCAGTGAAGACTCTACAGAATCATGAAATTGTTAAATTTGAAAAAGCCCTCCGGGATGATCAAATCCAACCATTCCCCCAGCACTGCCAAGGCCACCACTAAACCACATTCACACATTTAAATCCCTCCAGGGATGGGGATTCCAACACTTCCCTGGGCAGCCTGCTCCAATGCTCCAAGCTCCATCCAATCTGGCCCTGAACACTTCCAGGGATGGGGCATCCACAACCTCTCCACCACCCTCTGAGTAAAGAATTTCTTCCTAACATCTAACCTTGCTGTCAGTTCAAAAACATTACCCCTTGTCCTGTCACTATCTACCCACATAAAAAGTCACTCTGCCTCCTTTTTATGAGTCCCCTTAAGTCCTGGAAGATGCTCTAAGGTCTCCCTGGAGCCTTCTCTTCTTCAGGCTGAACACCCCCAGCTCTCTCAGCCTGTCTCCAGAACAGAGGGGCTCCACCCCTTTGATCATCTTTGTGGTCTGACACAAGCAAAGGGAGATGAATCCTGTCCTATAAACCAGCCTTAAACTCTTTGCCCACACCTCTGAAAAGTCTCCAGTTATGTTCTCCAGACAGGTGTTTGCTAAGGGAAGAGGAATCCTGCCTCAAACCCCACCACCACCACCCAGGATCCCGAGACAGAGCAGTTTTTAGAGCTCCACTGCTCACCCAGCAAGGGCATCACCCTCACATGGGGAATTAGGATTTCATCTCGGGTTGAAGAACCCGCTGCTTGAAGAGTCTTATTAGCCACAACACTGTTAATTTTGTTTAAACTCCTGGTGATGGCATCCCATGTATCACACACCCAAGAGTGAGCTAAATTATTCAGCTGATAAACAGACCATGGAGATATTGGGGAGTTTGAGATGATTTAAAGAAAGATCACTGTAGGTCGTTCAAGCACTGAGAAACAGCTGACAGCATTCAACACACACACAGACTGTATTATTCAAAATTACTGGTTATTTCAGCTTTTCAACCCTGATGTGATAAATATTGCTCCTGTGTAACTAATGTGGAAACTATTCTGCAGAGAGCTGCAAAGATCCGTGCAGACTCACAGACACCGACGGCGGAGCCAGCGCGGAAGTTTGGGAGTGCTCAGGGAATGCTAAGCAGAGCTGAGAGTCTTTTTTCACTCGACAAATTTTCTTATCCCTAAAAAGTATAATCAGATGACAGCGAACAGTGCGAGCCAAGGACGATTTCTTGCAAATTCATGTCAAAGAGGAAAAAAAAACAGTCAAAACATTTGGATATTTTCGGAAGAAAATAGATCCCTTATTCACTTCATTTTAATGCAAGAGCTCACTTTGAAATGTCTCTGAGCACTCATTTTTTAATGAACTCCCATTTACTCAAATTGAAACAATACATTTCACTTCAGTTTAAAGTTATTTAGTTTCTCACGAGAATTTAATTTTCATTTAAAATGCGTATAAATATCATTTCCAGTTGGTCCCAAATTATTTCACCTATTTTTGTCTAACAAACAAATAAAACCCATTCTACTTAAACACATTTACAGCCTTCTTTTCAAGGAGAATTGGCCCCAGTGTGTTTCAGATTGTGAATTTACAGTGGACTTCGCTGATTTCTGTGAGTTTCAGACTCATGTCCTGAGCCGTAAAATCCGAGATTAGAAGTTTCTGTTCTCCTCCCAGATAGCCCCTGAACGATTCTGAGATTTGAATAGGAAAACTGCAATTAATGAAGGGTGGGGAAATGAGAAGCAGAATATTTTGTAGTCATAAAATAAATGAAGTTTTGCCGTGTTTATGTTATACACATAATACAGCAGGAAGTAAAGATCAAAGCCGTGTTTATAAAGGACTTGGCAAGTTGTGTGCTCGGAGGGCTCATGGGAGGTACTTCAAGAATGAAGTTTGGATTTTTAGCTGGTGGAAATCACCGTGTCTCCTTTGACTTCTGCACAACGTTAGTGATCTACACCAGCAGAAAAGCTGGTTCAAGGGTTTCAAGGGAGAACAGATACATAAAGCAAAATATTTTTTTATTTCTACTGAAAAGTATTCGTCTCCTGTTTGTTCTCTATTTCCAAGTACTGGGAGTAACTCAGAGGAACAGGATCCCATTTCCCAGCTTCATTAGCTGCCAGGTTGGCATGGAGTTGAAACTACATGATCTTTAATGACCCTTCCAACCCAAACCATTCTGTGATTCTGTGATTTTAAGGTGTAAAGGTGTGAGTGAGGTTTGGAGCTGGTTCTTGCTGGTTCTGGCTGAGGAGGAGAGTATCAGACTGGGGCTGCCCAGAGAGCTCAGCCTTTGGGTACTGGCATCTACCTGAACTCCACAATTCCCAAACTATTTATTTGCAGGCTACAACCCCCTCCAATGTACCTGCTCAGTGAAAGGGAAAGTGAGGCATGGTCGGACAGGGCAATTAATCTCAGGTCTTGCAGAGAGAGCAGCTCAGTGCAGCCTTACTGCTCCCTGCCTGAGTTTTACCATGAACTGCAATGCTCACAACAGGGTGAAAACTCTCCACAGCAGCGATTTCACTCCCGTGGGGAGCTGAGATAAATTCCCCAAATACCACCCTCACCCAGACAGAGAAACTGGAGCAAAGAAGTACGAGACAGCAGCATGGTGAGAGAAGACATGCACAGCCCTGATCCACCACTCCAGGGACACCTCAGCTCCCAAGACACCATCAATCCTGGTGATTTATCCCACTGGAGGGTGTCTCACAGCCCTGGGCTCCAGCTGTCCCCAGGGGGACAGCCCCAGTGCTGGAGGAAGCTCAAAACCTCCGCAGGTCAAAATCTATCCCGTGGTCACGATGCTGTTTCCACTGACTTGAGAGGGAGCCTCGAGCAAGAGGATTTGAAAAACCCTGAGAAAAAGTGCAGAACCAGCTGTACTGCTTCCCTGGCCGCAGGGTTGGTGGGACACAAGTCCCTGGTGGGCTGTGGGACACGTGGGTCCCCGCTGGCAGATGGAGTGACAGACCTCTCTGCTTTGCTGAGCCCTGTGCAAAAGGTTGGTGCTGACATCCACAAGTTATTTTAACCTCTATTTCCCCCCCTCCAGGTTTAGTTACAGCATTCCAGGGGGCTCATCCGGTCCCCTGAGCTGGGTGCTGGTTCAGTGAGGTGGTGAGGAAGAGCACTGGCATCCCTGCACTGGTGCTGGAAGGGGATGTTGCTTTGGACATCACACGTCCCCAGCACATTCTGTGCCTGCTCAACCTCCTCTGCACGCCTCATCTGCATCCTTTTCACAGACAACTTGCCAAAACTTTAGAGCACAACTTGTCAGACAACCCTAAAGGAGCACCCAGTGTCCTGGGAAATCACACAGGATCTTCTCCCATCACCCTTAGATAATACCTGGTCCTGCTCCAGGTTCCTGCACAACAATGACATCCTGGGAAGTCAGTGAGACTTATACTTCAGACTCTGACACTCCCTGGGGAGATCAAACCTCACTCATCTCCAACAGAGGTGGGAGCCCTGGACCCACAGAGGCACATTCAGGTGCCTTTCTCAAACTGGGAGGAAGGGAGGACAGCAAAACTCTTTGGAGACCACTGTGCCATAATGACAGCCTGTTTGAAACAGAGCTGCTTGCTCCTTAGCCTGAACTTCATTATTTAAAATGCTGAATGCAGAATGAATTAATTAAAGCAATTATTATGCTGCTATTTTATTCATTTGCTATTTACTTTGATTATATGAGTTTGCTTAATAAATATTGAGTGTTAATTAACTGAATTGATTCATTGCTGGTTTATTCACCTATGAATTACCTATCCCTCACATCCATGCGTGAGTTGTGTCCTGAAAGTTTGTCCCAAGGAGCAGGTCCCCAAGGATCCAGTCACAGGAAGCAGGGCTGGGAGGGGGGATGGGGTCACTTACCAAAAGGCAGGATGAAGAAGAAGGGGAACCAGCAGAGGATGAAAACACCCACGACGATGGCGAGAGTCTTGGCTGCCTTTTTCTCACGGGAGAACTTGAGGAGCCGCACGGAGAGGGAGCTCCTGAAGTTGTGCCCCTTGCTCCGGGTGCTGGAGAGAGGCTCCTCCAGGACGCTGCGGCAGTGGATGCGCAGAACCACCTCCATGGATTTATTCCTCTCCTTCTTGACCCCTGCCTCCAAGCTCCGGGTGGTCCGCCTGGCCACCACGTAGATCCTGAAGTACATCACCAGGATGACCATGAGGGGCAAGTAGAAGGAGAAGAGGGAGGAGAACAGGGCATAGCCTGGCTCCTCTGTGATGCTGCAGATGCTCTCATCCTGCGGCGGCGGCTCCTTCCACCCCAGCAGGGGCCCGATGGAGATGACCATGGAGGAGAGCCAGACCACCACGAGGATGACCCCCGCCTTCCTCTCGGTCATGATCGTGGGGTACTTGAGGGAGTACTTGACGCCGATGTACCTGTCCACGGAGATGATGCACAGGCTCATGATGGAGGCAGAGCAGCACAGCACGTCCACCGCCGCCCAGATGTTGCAGAAGATGCGCCCGAACACCCAGAAGCCCAACACCTCCAGGGTGGCCGAGAAGGGCAGCACGGTGGTGCTGAGCAGCAGGTCGGCGATGGCCAGGTTGACGATGAAGTAGTTGGTGACCGTCTGCAGGTGCCGGTTGCAAGCCACCGACAGGATGACCAGGATGTTCCCCACGATGGCCGAGAGGATGAACACGGCCAGGAAGACCCCGACGCCCACCGCCTGCACGTCCAAGGCGAAAGTCAGCGTGGTGCCGTTGCCGTCGGGGCTCTCCTCACCCTGCAGCCCCCAGGACCGGTTGGCACCGCTCTGGCTGCCCTGTCCCGTCCGGTTCCCACTCAAGCTGCCATTGCTCAGCTCGGGGAAAGTCATTGTAGAGAAAGTCCGGGCTCCATGGAGGGCGAGGAGAAAGCGGTGCCGAGGCGCAGCTCCCCCGGCATGATCCCCGGCCGGCAGCCCCCGCCTAGACCCGGCTCCGCACCCCG